GAAGCTATGTCCTCCCCCAGTTGCATTTGAGCCTGGAGGTCACCCCAACAGCTGGCGGTAAGCAGGTTTTTCCCCCTTCCAGAGAGACGGGCAATCACTCGATCCCTGACATTACATTTTCAGCACCTGAACTATACTTCAGTTTGATAAATGCCCCAAGTGCTCTGCCTGAAGATCCAGCCCGCTCTGCAGAATAGTAACAACAGCGAGGTATTCCATTACTCTGTCACCTTCTTCTGAAAGTCTAAATCATGCCCACAAATAAGCAAGCACTTTTCTAATTGAAGCATTGGGAAGAAAGGCAACTTTTGATTGACCACTGGAATTGCTAAATTACCAAACTGGCAGGAAACCAAGTGGAATTACATTGTCATAATTGCTCTGGTAGAACATTGACTAACTAGAGGTGGTGGCGGGTGAGTCAACAAAGCAATTATAAATGAACACCCAACCTACAGTATGCATGTATATATGCCACTCAAACCTATGATTATAGGGGGAAAGCAACATTTTACCGTTGCAGTTATTCATGAAGTGATCATTTTATAAATTATCTCTTTTTTAAAAAAAAAAAGCACATACACGCTCATAAGTAAATTGCCTAAAGTGTCTTCTAGACATCCAAATGTCTGAACTGAGAGACATGTTGACTCAGAGAACTAAATGATATATGTGATCCAGAAAGTAGCACAGCTACTGCTGCCATTTAAAAATGTGTATTCTGTACTAGTAATCATAAATTGAGAAGAGGTAATGAACATCAGATAATGGTTATGGAGTTTGCAGCACATCCGCCATGAAACTTTCAGGTCTGGGGTGTTTTGCAGGTACAGGGGTACCTCGGGTTAAGTACTTAATTCGTTCCCGAGGTCCGTTCTTAACCTGAAACTGTTCTTAACCTGAAGCACCACTTTAGCTAATGGGGCCTCCCGCTGCCGCCGCGCCATCGGAGCACGATTTCTGTGCTCATCCTGAAGCAAAGTTCTTAACCCGAGGTACTATTTCTGGGTTAGCGGAGTCTGTAACCTGAAGCGTCTCTAACCTGAGGTACCACTGTAATGATTAGCTGATTGGCATAATAACCCACAGGGAAAATCTACAGTTTCAACACTCTGTATTATTATTATTATTATTATTATTATTATTATTACATTTATACCCCACCCATCTGGCTGGTTTAGGATTAAAGCAGTCTAGCAACATCTGGAGAGAGCATTTCCCCACCCCCACCCTTGGTGTAGAGCAGGGTTTCCCAAAGTTGGGTATCCAGCTGCTTTTGAACTACAATTCCCACTGTCCCTGACCACTAGTCCTGCTAGCCAGGGATGATGGGTGTTGTAGTCAAACAACAGCTGGAGACCCAAGTTTGGGAAACACTGGTGTAGAGGATCTAGTAAGTTTGGAAAGCTTCCAGTTGGTTTCAGTGCTGAAAGTGTAAGATGTTTTTTGTCCCTTTTCTTATTATGTAAGGGCTACCTTCCAGTTAGACTGCTGAGTGTAAGCAGCTGAAGGGCATTGTTGGCAGGTGAGAAAAGCTTCCATGGCTACACAAGCTGCAAACTTCGTCACTGAAAGTTGCTGCAGCAAAGAGGTGGCTCAGACACCATCCTTCCCCCTGACCCAGCCATAACCTTCCCAGTGAACTCGAAATCAAATTGACTTGTTTTAAGAATTAATAAGTAGGGAACACTTAACTGAGAAGCAGGTCTCTGCATTAGCTATTTCTTCCATTTCATGTTCCGTAGCTCAGCGAAAGATTGAGCTGAGGAAATGAGATGAATAATACCACCTGCATTTACCGAGTGCAAAACATTTCCAAGGATATTATGTTCATAATGAACTGGCTGATGGAAAATCTCCCCATTTAAGGGACCCCAATGTAAAGCTATTTATTTCACGAACATTATAGCTCTATAAATGAGAGCAGGCCCATCAGCATTAACATTGCATCTGTTTAATCAACAGGATTAAACAAACTTAATCAACACTGTGAAGCAGGAACAAGGAACCACTTGGGACACTTTTTGTAAAGGAGAACCCAAGGTCACAAGGCAGAATTAAGGAGCAGCCCACTGGATCCAAGTGAAATGCTATTTCTCACCGACAGCATAAAAGTGACCTAACAGATTTACTACCGCAAGACACTCTGATGACAGTGTAGCTGCATTTGAGGAAAAGTGGTGCGACTAGAGTTAAAGAAGGAGGAAAATAATGGTGGTTGTCCAAAGTAGTATAAAGAGGCATCTCTAGAACTTGGATACGACTGATAGAACTGACTCAAGTAAACCCTGTGCCTCAGCAATAAGTTGCTCAGACTAAGGGTACAAGCCAAGATCAGCAGCTTTATCGGGTCAGATGCCTCCCAGTGCAATTTGATCTTACTATGTTGATAGCTGCAGTACCACCCATTAGCCATCAGCACCAATCATGTTGAAAAACTCTTTCTGGCAAGTTATAGGTGCTACAGTGGAGAAAGGCTGCAATCCTATAAGGAAGGAATGGGGAAAGCTGTGGCCCTGTAGTTGTTGTTCAGTTCCAGTTCCTATCAACCCCAGCTGGCATGGCCAGTGTCCAAGGATCCTGAGAACTGTAGCTCTACAACATCTAAAGGGCTGCAGATTCCTGGCCTCTGCTATAAACACACATTAATGGGATATGTCCCATTAATGCGACTCACTTCTGTTTAGATACATATAGGAGTAAAAAAAAAAAAAGTAACATAAACACCGACAACTGGGAAAAACTGGCCTGTGAGTGCTCCAATTGGAGAACAGCCTTTATCAAAGGCTTTGAAGATGCTCAAACTCAGGACGAAAGGGAGAAATGTGCTAAGACCATAAGAGGAAGGCACACCTGGTAAGCCCTCACCATGATCAACTCCCGCCCAGAAACCTATGTCCCCACTGTGGAAGGACGTGTGTATCCAGAATTGGCCTCCACAGTCACTTACGGACTCACTTTCAAAACCGTGTTTATGGAAGACAATCTTACTCAGCTACAAGTGATCGCCAAAGAAGAAATAGGACTACACCATAATACATCTCTGCCCTCCTGCCAGCATTCTGATGTGGAGACCCAGTATGATAATGTGCATACTGGGTGGGTGGGATTCATCTAATAAGCCCCATCAGCTGAAACACTGCACAAGGACTTCCACTTGTGCAGTGGGGATTTCCCTCCTCTCCTTCCCAAATTGGCTCAGGTGGGGGCTTGTGAGAACCCCCAGAACAGGGTGTGTTGTGACGATAGGGGTGATCTTTCTGTTTGGCAAGCTGCAATGCTTATACAGACACAACATTCATCATGGCATGATATTGAATTCCAGCCACTGTCCATAGAAAATTTGGCTCAGTGAAAAGGAGCTGGATTTTTCAAGGATTTGAATTTATGAATTTACCTGATTTAAGTAGGTGTACATTCCAATATTTCCCCGGGATGAGCATGGAGCAAATAGCAAATCGAACTGAATGGTGTTCATTTCAGCTTCGTTTTCATTTATCCTGCAGGAAATGCTCTGCTCAGAGGAAAACAAATGGGCACAAATGGAAGTCCAGACATGGGCATAAATGCATAAATGCCCATTCATTCTATTTGTGGGATGAGCCAACTCAGCGGTGGCAAAAACAGAAAACACTGGTTGCCAATTGACTTCAGCGGAGCTGACACAATGTTACTGTAGCTGAAATGCCATTTATGAGAAAGTTGTGTTCTTATTCTCATATTTTAGGACTCTTGGTTTGTATTTTATTCCATTTTGCACACCCCAATGGCGTTTTAATGTTATTTAATATAGGCACTTTTCGGCTAAACAATATTTATTGTCAGGTTAATAAATAGTTATTGCTTCTTTGTTGCTGTAGTCATTGTGCAGTGTATGTCTCATTAGCTTCATAATTGTCCTTAAAGAAGATAGCTATAAAATGTAAATTGAGGCGAGGAATGTAACACCGAGCTTAATGCATGCATATAGATATACTCATTTCTCAAATCTAACTTGCAGTTTCAAATAAGTCTCTGTATTAAGGTGGTCAGGAGGGCACACTCCGAAAGCACAGCCTCTTGGAAGCTGGGTCAAAAGCAGAGGGTTTCTTTTCAGGGGAAAGTGCTCAGGATCTAGGTGCCTACCCTATTGAATATAATATATAGTCTATTAATATTATTATAAATGTTATTTAAAAAATCAAAGTGAGAATGACTATGACACTAGAAGCCTTTTCTGACATAGTTTTGGGGGGAAAATAGAAAAAATATTGTCTCTCTTGGGGTAGGTAGGAAGCGTTTGTAAATCTTGACTCTATTAAATGATAATGATGATGATAATTAATAATAATAATAATAGAAATCTAAAAAAGACACAGCACACATGTTATGCTTTGTGTTAGTTCCCCAAAAGGTTTTCCACATGCATTTTATTGCTATATTGAAATATTGCTTTTTCAATAGTATTTCTGTGTCTTACTCTAGAAGTCCATACATTTGCTTCATAGATGTTCAGAGTCTCAAGATTTTTATCTCCTCTGGGTGGCATATGAAATAAGCCTCTAATTGCAAATCCTTTATAAATGCACAATGGTCATTTTTACACAGGTATCTTGGTTGACAGCCTTTACAAATCAGAGGCATGATCTATTGTCTCCTTATGCACAGCAACATGAGAATCTCCACGGGACTCCTGCTGAGCCGTTCCACCTCATGCCAAGGTAAAATGGCTATGGTTGTCAATGGCAGGTGTGAAGAGGCGAACTGTCAAATTATCTTGATCTCAGGGGTGCTTAAACAGGTTTCTTGAACCCAAATGAATAATTAGTGCACATAAACAATGAAGACCAAATGAGACCAAACTCCTTTTTGTCAGTCATCCATCATTAGCTGAATAGCAATCAGTCTAGTCCATTCCGCTCAGTCTATTAGTTTTTGTAGCTTTCCATTCTACCCTTCAGATTCTTTCTGACATCCTATCTGCTTTCGTCTCCCCTTCCTCTCTCTTTCTTTTCTCTGTCTCATCTCACAACAACTGCTTCTCCTACAGTTGTCACTTGCTGAATCTTTATCCTCTTGCTCTTTCCAAGCTCTGCCTTCTTCTCACCCTGCATTTGATCATGTCGCTGGAGAAGAAGGTGGTGGTGCACTGCAACAGATTGTTGCCGGTTAAGGATATCTCTTATGCGTCTCACATAGAGGGATCCACTAGCATGTTCTTCTCTAGAAGAGTCCAGAAAAGTCACTACCCTGCTGAGGACAGAAAAGGGACATAGTGTGGCACCTCCATACTGGGTGAAGAGGGAACTTCTCTTCTCTATAGTCCATTTGGTTTCTGGGTGCAGAACAGGGATGGGGAGCCCCATCGCTCCTCCACCAAGCTGCTCACTCACCTACATGGCACTCCTAGTCATCTATGACTACCAGGCTAGTGCTTAATTACAAGGCTGGTTTTCAGTGGGAAAAGCCCTGTTGCACCCAGGTCTTGCTTGCAGGCTACACATGCTGGCTGGGGCTGCAGGTTCCCCATCGCTGTTGTTAAAAGGACACACCATTGCCAAAAATAGAGATTTGCACATTAGATTGTTTCTGAAATTTCTGATGTTAGTAAAACTGTGTGTGGTTTTTGTGCTGCAGTAGTTTCTACAGCAGTTCTTGTCCTCACTCTTGATTTCTGGAGGAATGACACCTATCCCTTCCTGTATAAACTCCAAGTCATTTTGGTTTCTATAGTTCTTAACCGTGTTAAAAACAAACAAACAAACCCAAACTTCTTCCCTGGCCTTTGCTTACTTAGACTTCCAGCAATCAAAACAGTGCATCATCCACTAGAGTAATGTGTCCTTGATACTTACATTTACTGCCTTTCACACAAATAGTTCCAACAGTAGGTAAACCATGTGCATCTGGCAGAGTAATGATTTCCTAGTCAGACCTGCTTACGGAGAGCAAAAAAACCCCACAATTGTGTGTTTGCCAAGCACTGAAGTCTTGTCAAGTGGCCAATTCATTATTCCCATCTTTGGCAACTCTGCCAGCAAAAGCTGAAGATTCAGTAAGAAGACTGCTTCTATTTCAAAACTGAAGGAAACAGGTGAGACTTTAAGAGGTTCTCAACCAAAATTCTTCATTGCCTGCAAGGGAGTTATTTGAAAGAAGGGCAAATATAATGTAATGAGGGCTCATTTATTTAAATATGGAGAAGTAGGATGAGCTCTTGAGTCCCAATAAGCAATGGTTGCACCCTTTAAGCTGGCTTCAGTGCCATTTAAAAACTGCCCCATTAACGCACTACATGAAGCCCAGAGTTCAAAAGCAGGTGATTTCATGGGTACCATACAGGTATATGTTCAGAAAAAAAGGAGATTTTGACGACACAGAATTGCACTTTTCTAACATCTTTCTGCAAAATTGTGTTCACCCAGCAATGGGAAAAACCCTTAAGTGCATGGAGAAAGGACTGAGAATGAAGCATCTGCCTCTTAAAAAAAAAAACTAGCCACATTTGAAGTATTTTCCAGGCATAGACAGGAAATCTTCTCTGAAAGTTATGTGAACCAAGAGTAGATTGGAAAGCTCAGCCATTTCTCACCTTGTACTTCCAACTTCGTGGGTTGCTATAATAAGGTGCTGATGGGCCGTTTCCCTGTGTATATGTGTTATGATCCAAGTGACTCCTCCAACATCTGGGGGAAGATGTTTGGGGCTATAATTTCCATAAGTGACAGTTAGCATAGCCAAAGGGAGTTATAGCCTAAACATCTGGAGGGCACCAGGTTTGTGTATATTCACCAATATAAGCTCAGGCAGAGGCAGTGACGGCCACACATTGTTGTGGGCCCTTGTGCAAAATACTGGGGGGGGGGGGACTCCCAATTTAGTCTGATAATACACTAGTATCCAATTACATTACATACATTCTGATCATAGATGAAACATTATTAGGAGTATAAATTTAGCTGAAAATGGACTACAGAGTTTTAGAATATCTATTTAAAGAACAGCATAACTTTTAGAAGACATCTGAAGGCAGCCCTGTATCGGGAAGTTTTAATGTATGATATTTTACTGTGGTTCTATATACTGTACGCTGTAAGCCACCCAGAGTGGCTGGGGTATAAATTATTATTATTATTATTATTATTATTATTATTATTACTGCTGCTACTATCAATTATAGTGCATTTTTATATATAATATTAATTGACATGAGAGAGTTGTGTTAGAATATAACAATGATTTAATTTACGATAATTTAAGATTTTTGGGTTTCGTGGGCCATCTAGTCTGTGGGCCCTCTTGTGCCCCCCCCCCACACACACAAATTTAATATCACCACCATTGGACAGTGGTGGGTCATGGAGACCCTTCTTAATATCTTATGGGAAGACTCATATGGGCATAAACATTCCTTTATTCCTGAGATAAGATTCTGCAGATATAGGGAAATGGTCTTTCTTTCCTCCCTTAATCTCAAAAATAGCATCATCAACATTCCATCAAAGCTAAAATGTATCCAAATTAGCATAATGAGATATAAATACTGAAGCCTATTGAACATGTCTCCGCAGATTTCTCATTTTCATGTGGTTCTCCCCCCCTCCCCCACCAGCAGATTTTAATTTCCCTCCAGCCTAAGTGAAGAAAAATAATTTTGACAGTTACTTGCTGTTAGGCAAATACAGAACCTGGTGTAACAGTCATATGCATTTTGTCAGTTTCTTTGGACGTAATTATGTTAATCTGCCAGGGGTATTTTTCCCACAATGATTTGTCACTGGTGGGATCAAGCATCCCTTTGTTATCTATGAACTCAGTCACATGCAATCAGGTCTCCTGCTGAAGTCAGTTGAGCTTTGCCGCTTTTACCAAGGTCATACTCTGCCCCCCTAGCTACACATCAACCTTTCATTTCAACAATATTTTATTTTGCCCATATGCCAGGATATAGATTTCAGAACAACTGCCTCAAATAAGTTAACCTTCATTTAGCAAAAAGGAAAAGACATGGATTGAAAGCATAAAAGTCTTTTGAATTAATCCACTGAAAATGTTACCCAATTTCTCCTCGTTTGAGGTTCATATACAGATTGTTTCCTCCTGAAAGCATGTTAATAAGTACAGTGGTACCTCGGGTTACATTCACTTCAGGTTACATACGCTTCAGGTTACAGACGCCGCTAACCCAGAAATAGTGCTTCAGGTTAAGAACTTTGCTTCAGGATGAGAACAGAAATCGTGCTCCAGCGTCGCGGTGGCAGCAGGAGGCCCCATTAGCTAAAGTGGTGCTTCAGGTTAAGAACAGTTTCAGGTTAAGTACTGACCTCCGGAACGAATTAAGTACTTAACCCGAGGTACCACTGTATGGTCAAAATCTGCTTGGAAGTACTCTTGTACAAGCCCCAGAGAGATGAATGGGAGCCCTGGGCAGCACAGTTGTTGTCAAGAGACTTTGAATTTTGAACTGAGAACCTCAGAGTGAGAGTGTGGGGACCTCACTTAATGGGCTCCCATTGTGTCAGGAGTCCAGGTTCCGGGCTTGATAACACAGTAAGCGTAGGTAATTAAAAAGGAGGATTTATTGCAAAAACAAACACATAGCTCCAGACAGCTCCAATGAAGCCGCCCACATTATCATTCAAGATGACTCTTCTGAAGATTCCTTCCAGTTCCTACAGAATATATTGAACCATTGCCCTTTATGTCTCTTGTTTTGCTTCCTGTCTAGCAGCCCTCCCATTCGCTGACTCTTCAGACTTATTGTATCAGCTCCAACCTCTTCCTGTTACGCCAGACTGTTTCTGTGTCTGTGTGAGCCTGTTTGAGCTTCCCGAGAGCTTTGGCTGTGTTCTAGCCTGCTCTCAGTTGTTCCCTTGGCAACTGGCAATCCAATGTCTGGGGGAGTCAGCACTGGCTGCTGTTCCGCCTGTGCCAAATCTAAACCTCTCTGTTCTGCAGCCGGCTGTAAAGTTCCACTAGGAGCTGGCTCATTCCTGACACATTGGCTGCATATGCTTACATCCCAGAATCCTCTCCGGGAGCAGAAACAAGTGAGACCCGCAATGGTACTGTGTAGCATGGCATACTTCTGTTCAGAGTGTCTGGGTGCTCAGTTCATAACTCCCTGTGCCTGGTTTTCTGGTTTCTCTGCTCAACAGGAGGTATCAATCCTGCAGGTACAGGAAAAGTCACTTGTAAAGCCATACCCATGCAAGATTGGATCCCCCTTTAGAAGAAACCTTAACAGCTGTTAAGCAGGAGCACCCAATCCTGCATGATACTGGCTGCTGCTCCCTCATGGGTGATTTCTGTTGCATGCAGAATATATGCATATTATATGGTAACCTATCCAATGTCACAGCTGTCGAGATGTACTCAAATAGCAAATATGGCAATTATTCCAGAAAAAATGTAATTACCCTTACTAAATTCTCAGTTTCGTGTAATTTTGCATGCATGCAACTATGGTCAGGTGCACACTCTCATCACAAAAAGATAAACTCATCTCTGCTAATATTAATACTTGGCTTATCCAACATGAAGGAAGAGAATTTCTGCAGGAAAAAAAATTAATTGCTTTCCTCCTTTCTATTTGGAGCTGTTGAGGTGCCCTTTCTCATGTCTTTCCCGGAACAATTAACCTTTTGTCATGTGTACAAATGTTTGATGGAAGCCCCATGAGGTTCAGCATATGATTTACAGGGGGAAATGTACAAAGTTAATTAGTATAAATTGTAATTTGTATATTATCGCACACAGCAGCTAGGTGATATGGCTCTCGGAGAACTTGGATCACGCATTGGATTGTGATCTGGATTGCACCAGGTCCATATGTCTTATGCCTTAGAGGTTTCCTTCCTTCATCTCCAGGGAGTCTGTGAGTTAGGTTTTACAACAAAATATGACTAGCCAAACAGCTGGCAAGGTGATGCTGACTATAATAAACAGGAGTATACATTACAGAGGATGTAGGGCATAGTCATTGGATGCTGAGTTCAGAAAAGGTGGAACAATAAATGTTTTAATCAAGAGAGACAGTTACACTAGTGAAAGATGTTGGCTGTTGCTTGGATTATGCTTTCTAAGTTCTTAGGAGCATAGGAACTCCCCTAACGCCAGCTCAGACCATTGCATAGCTGTCAAGCATCCCTTATTTGGCAGGACAGTCCCTTATCCCAGCACCATGTCCCGCTGCTGTCCCTTATTGATGATGTCCCTTAAATTTCCCGGGTTTCAAAGGAAGCAGATCCTCTCCCTCCCTCCCTCCCTGCCGGCCAGGGAGGAGGGAGGCTCCAAAAGTGTGGCTTGGCTGCATTGCTCACCCAATAAGAAGTCTAATAACGACTGGGGGGTGGAGCTTGCATGC